TATAGATGTATCATCAGTTTCGCCAATTTTAACGAAATTGTTGGACTATTCAGTGCACAAGGAAAAAAAATGATCAGTCAACTGAATATGCGTAGCTAAATCTGTCCTGAGGTAAATCCCTGTATAAATAAATAAACTAAAAGAGCTACGACTACATGTTTTCGTAGTGAACAGTGGTCAACACTGTAAGAGTTTACCGAGGTTTTATTTTATTTTTTATAATTTTTTTCAGAGCAGTTTATAAACTGGCTCCATGCTGTATTGGAATGAAGTTTCGCGTTAAGAACGAAAAGGTCGGAAGCAGACAGAATGATAGGGCTCACACTACTAGGAAGATTACAGATTGTTAAATCTCTTATTACTCTTCAAGTTTTGTGTAAAGCGGCCTCAATAGGTCCTTTGCACGATTCGGTGACATGGTACGGAATAAATTATGCTGGGACGCAAGTTACACAGTGGGACTTCCAAAGCAAAGAAACTCGTACCAGTCCAGCCCGACTTGCCTTTGTTTTAGAAGTCCCACTGTGTAATTTGCGCCCCAGCATAATTTATTCCGTACCATGTCACCGGATCGTGCAAAGGACCTATTGTGGTCACAGATTTGATCAAAGGGAACAACGGTTTGATTTACCGTTTTCCCTGGAAAGGCAACGATAGAATAATAGACGTGCTGCTCTAATCAATGATATCGAGGATGGCGGACTCGAGATGTTAGACATTCCATCGATGATCCTCGCACAAAGGGCGATGGTGTTAATTAAAAAGATTATGATAAAGAAAACACCAGCTCTTGGAAGATAACACTGAATTTCTTTCTTTCTCTCTCTCTCTATCTGCCTTCTAGCCTTTCATAAAAGGTGTCTGAACTCATGCTAAACCAATCTTCAGTGTTATCGTATGAGATGATGTTGTTCATTAAGGTGTCTGAAACTGAATAAAAATAGATCTGTGAAAAAGTGCTAGCTCTCGCTTAAAAAATAAAAAAGATAGATATAAAACGTTTGTTTTCGAAAGGAATTATTACGATTGGTGACCTCCTTTCTAATGCTGTTAATGTCCTTTCTAATGCTGTTAAATACAATTCAATCTATATCCAATAGAGCAGTTTAGTTTCATGAACATTGTTGATGCAATCCCTCTTAAACGGATTCAGATCATCAGACAAAACGCACAGCACCTTCTTGCATACATTGGCAACTTGATTTCTTGACAGCCGGGTCACAAAATTAAACGTAATAAACTGTGTAATCTTCTCTCATCCATTTGGTGCACTTCTCCACCAAATACATGCTCTAATCTTTCTATCCAATTTACTGTATATTTGGCAGCATTTGACAGTGTTACATGGGAAACTTTCGATAATCACCCAGTAAGCACACTGTTCTTCTTTTGAGCAAGTCTAAAATAAGTATACAATCCATTTCAGGAGTTTCAGCGAGCCTTAG